TATATCTTCTTCTTGGATTGATCCTTTGATCATTATATAGTGTCCTTATTTGTCTCTTATCATGGTCTTTATTTCAAATTCTATTTTATCTGATATGCATATTGCTACTCCTGCTTTCTTTTGGTCTCCATTTGCGTGAAATATCTTTTTCCAGGCCCACACTTTCAGTCTGTGTCCGTGCCTAGGTTTGAGGTGGGTCTCTTGTAGACAGCATATATAGGGGTCTTGTTTTTGTAATGCATCCATTTGGCCAGTCTTTATTTTTTGGTTGGAGCATTTAACCCTTTACATTTAAGGTAATTATGGGTAAGTATAATCCCATTACCATTTAGTTTGTTGTTTTTGGTTTGTTTTTATAAATCTTTTCTGTGTTTCTCATCTAGAGAAGATCCTTTAGCATTTGTGGAAGAGCTGGTTTGGTGGTACTGAATTCTCTCAGCTTTTGCCTTTCCATAAAGCTTTTGATTTCTCCTTCATATCTGAATGAGATCCTTGTTGGGTAGAGTAATCTTGGTTATAGGTTCTTCTCTTTCATCACTTGAAGTATGTCCTCCCATTCCCTTCTGGCCTGAAGTTTCTATTGAAAGATCAGCTGTTATCCTTATGGGGATCCCCTGTGTTATTTGTTGCTTTTCCTTTGCTGTTTTTAATATTTGCTTTTTGTGTTTGATCTTTGTTAGTTTGATTAATATGTGTCTTGGGGTGTTTTGCCTTGGGTTTATCCTGTTTGGGACTCTCTAGGTTTCTTGGCCTTGGGTGGCTATTTCCTCCCCCATTTAAGGGTAGTTTTTGACTATTATCTCCTCAAGTATTTTCTCATGCCTTTTCTTTTTGTCTTCTTCTGGGACACCTATTGTTCAAATGTTGGGGTGTTTAACATTGTCCAGAGGACTCTGAGGTTGTCCTCATTTCTTTTAACTCTTTTTTCCTTTCTGCTTCACTTATTTCTACCATTCTATGTTCCACCTCACTTATCCTCTCTTTTGCCTCAGTTATTCTACTGTTGGTTCCATCCAGAGTTCTTTTAATCTTAGTTACTGCATTGTTCATTATTGACTGACTCTTCTTTATTTCTTCCAGGTCCTTGTTAAACATTTCTTGCATCTTCTCAATCCTTGTCTCTAGTCTATTTATCTGTAAATCCATTCCCCCCCCCAAGATTTTGGATCATCTTCACTATCATTATTCTGAATTCTTTATCAGGTAGATTCCCTATCTCCTCCTTTGTTTGGTTTGGTGGGATTTTTATCATCTTCCCTCACCTGCTAAATATTTCTCTGCCTCTTCATTTTGTTTAGATTGCTGTGTTTGGGGTTCCCTTTCTGCAGGCTGGAAGTTTGTGGTTTTTCTTAATTGTGGAGTCTGCTCCCTATGGGTGGGGTTGGACCAGTGGCTTGTCAAGGTTTCCTGGTTGGGGGAACTGGTGTCTGGTGGGTGGAGCTAGATCTCTTCTCTCTGGAGACAGAGTTCCTACATGACCACTGGAAAAACCATAGCTTTGACCAGAGGGACCTTTGTCAGCAAAATGATGTCTTTGCTTTTTAATACGCTGTCTAGGTTGGTCATAGCTTTTCTTTCAAGGAGCAAGCATCTTTTAATTTCATAGCTGCAGTCACCATCTGTGGTGATTTTGGACCCCAAGAAAAGAAAGTCTGTCACTGTTTCCATTGTTTCCCCATTTATTTGTCATGAGGTGATGGGACCGGATGCGAATGATCTTAGTTTTTTAAACGTTGAGTTTTAAGCCAACTTTTTCACTCTCCTCTTTCACGTTCATCAGGAGGTTCTTTAGTTCCTCTTCACTTTCTGCCATAATGGTGCTGTCACCTGCATATCTGAGATTATTAATATTTCTCCCTGCAATCCAGATTCCACCTTGTGGTTCATCCAGCCCAGGATTTCGCATGATGAGCTCTGCATATAAGTTAAATAAGCAGGGTGACAATACACAGCCTTGATGTATTCCTTTCCCAATTTTAAACCTGTCCATTGTTCCCTGTCCGGTTCTAACTGTTGCTTCTTGACCTGTATACAGGTTTCACAGGAGGCAGGTAAGGTGGTCTGGTATTCCTATCTCTTTAAGAATTTCCACAGTTTGTTGTCAACCAGGCTCAGAGTCTTAGCCACTGGACCACTAGGGAAGTCCCTCTAGCTGGTTGTAATGTTACTTTTTTGTCTTTAGTTTTCAGAAGTTACGATTATGACGTATCTTGGCATGGATTTCTCTGGATTTATTGTTTGAGACTTGCTCAGCTTCTAGAATCTGCAAACTGGTATCTTTTGCCAAATTGGGGGGATTTTCAGTGATTATTTCCATAAGTACTTTTTCAGCTTTACCTTCTTTCTCATCTCCTTCTGAAATTCCCATGACACAAATATAATAAATTTTTCCCACAGGTCTCAGGCTCTGTTAATTTTTTCCAGTCTAATTGTCTCTGTTGCTCAGAAATGGGTAATATATACTACTCTGTCTTCAAGTTCACTAATTCTTCCTCCCTCTGTCCTTTCATTCATTGAATCTGTCTACTGAGCTTCAAAATTTCAGTTGTTATTTTTCAGTGCTAGAATTTTCATTTGATTCTTCTTTATATCTTCAGTTTCTCTCCTAAGGCTTTCTATTTTTTTCACTTGTTCAAGCACGTTCACTGTTCACTGTAGCATTTTTTATAATGGCTTTTAATTTAAAATCCTGTTGGATAATTCTAACATCAGTGTCATTTTGGTGATGGTATCTACTGATTGTCTTTTCTTATTCAACTTGAAATTTTCCAGGCTCTTGATATGACAAATGATTTTCAGGTGAACCCTGGATATTTTGGGTATTACATTTCAAGAATGTGAATCTTATTTCAATCTCCTCTTTCAGCAGGCTTCCTGTGACCTGAGCATCAGTGGAGGAAAAAGAGTGCTGCTGGATGTGGGAAGCGGGGGGTGTGACTACTACCACTGAACACTTATGAGAATTCTGGCTTCCAGCTAATACTCCTGACTGGGAGGGATAGCAATGCCTCATTTCTGCTTCTCATTGACACTGTGGGAATGGCCTCATTACTGCCTCGAATCAGTGACAGACTTGATTCTCCAATAGACCTCTTCTGATATCAACCAGGCAAGAAGCCAGAGGGATGCCTCTTTCTTTCTGGGTAGAAGTCCAGGCTCCCTGTGACCACTGACACCAGAGGTTTGTCTAGGTTTATCATAGTTTTTCTTTCAAGGAGCAAGTATCTTTTAATTTCATGGCTGCAGTCACCATCTGCAGTGATTTTGCAGCTCAAGAAAAGCAAATCTGTCACTGTTTGCACTTTTTCCCTATCTATTTGCCATGAGGTAATGGGACCAGATGCCATGATCTTAGTTTTTTGAATGCTGAGTTTTAAGTCAACTTTTTCACTCCTCTCTTTCACCCTCATCAAGAGGCTCTTTAGTTCCTCTTCTCTTTCTGACATTAGAGTGGCATCATCTGTGTATCTGAGGTTGTTGATGTTTCTCTTGACTCCAGCTTGTGATTCATCTAGCCCAGTATTTTACATGATACTCTGCACATAAGTTAAATAAGCAGGGTGACAATAAACAGCCTTGATATACTCCTTTCCAATTTGGAACCAGTCCATTGTTCCTTGTCTATTTCTACCTGTAGCTTCTTGACTCGCATATAGGTTTCTCAGGAGACAGGTAATGTGATCTGGTATCCCCATCTTTTTAATACTTTTCCACAATTTGCTGTGATCCACACAGTCAAAGACTTTAGCATAGTCAATCAAGCAGATGTTTTTCTGTAATTTCCTTGCTTTCTCTATGATCAATGACTCCACAGAGTAGGCTTTTCTTGAGGCAAAAAGAAAATCGAGGCTACTAACTATTCTGTCTTTCTCTGGTCCTGAGCTTCCCAGCCAGTTTGTCTTCTCTCTGCCTTTCAGATTCTGCTTATATTTGCTTTATGCAAAAGTCCAGGGTTGTTAGCTGTACTTAGCAGAATGTGTACGAAAAAGTACCAGCTCATTCCTTTTTATTGCTAATAGTAGTCCATTGTTTGGATGTAGCAGTTTATGTCTATTCACCATCTGAAGGATAACCTTTAAGTAGCTTCCTGTTTGGGGCTATTATGAACAAATCTGCTAAAGCAGTCACAGTAAGTTTTTGTGTGAATCTAATTTTCTTTTCTCTTGGTTAGATACTAGGAGTTGGACTACTGGATCCCATGGTGAAGTGTACATTTAAGTTTGTATTTTTCCAGATTTGTACCATTTTACACTCATACTAACAGTGTATGAGAATCCCAGTTGCTTTGATTCTTGCCTGCATTTGGTATTGTCAATTTAATTATTTTCTTAAGTCTTTCTTATAAGTGTGTAACTGCATCTCATTGTGGGTTTAGTTTGCATTTCCCTAATGACTAGTGATGTTGAGTATATTTTCATGCCCAATTTTCATCCATATACCTGGTAAAGTGTTCAAATCCTTTGCCTATCTTTTTGAGTTATTTTCTTAGTTTTGAGAGTTCTTTTTATGTCCTACTTACAAGTTCTTTGTTGGATACAGCTTCTTTTTCACTCAGTTTCTACTACCAATAACTGGCTAACGTTCAAGACCTATTTATTAAACCAAGGTCTAATAAGTAATTCTAGACTTCTATGTTGTAATGAAGACTACACTCAAGTGTTTTCAGTTTTGCAAGTAGTAAAATGAACTTAATTTCCACCTACTATTACTCATTATCTTTGAGAAACTTTTGGAAAATGTACTAATTACTGTGACATTGCAAGTAGTACTTATAATTTTAAAGCAAAACATTCACTGAGTGTTTTAAAGGCACAAGTATATTAAGGAGTCAGCCTGCTCCTTAATCCAAGAAAGTTTAGTAGATCACAAATTCTTATTCACGATTTTCAGTATAATGAAAGAGAGGAGAAAAAAAGCCTATAAAGCCAAAAATCACATGGAGCCTGTGTGTCAAAGAGAGCATGCAGGTAACAGACGTGATGTATGGTCAGGAGGCATACCTAGATCACTGTCTGGTGCTTCAGAACTTGTGCTCAACTTTTCACACAGATGCGTAAGCTGTCCTGGTGGAGCTTGTTGTTGCTGCTGCTGCTGCCTGAAACATTCAAGAGTGGAATGTACATTTAAAAAACAAAACCTAAGAATAAATATGCCATGAGAAAAACCATTCCCATGGAAAATAAATGATTCCACAAAACAAAAGCGTCACTGGCTTGAACACCCCAAAAGAAGGCAAGAGCAATCATGCTGATGGAAAAAACTTATGATTACCAAAGGGTAAAGGGGGGGATAAATGAGGAGTTTGGGATTAATAGATATATACTACTATATATAAAATATGTAACAAGGTCCTACTGTATAGCATAGTGAACTATATTCAATATCTTATAATAACCTATAATGGAAAAGAATCTGAGAAAGAATCTATATATATATATACACACACACATATATCTCAATAATTTTGCTGTACACATGAATTAACACATTATAAATCAATTACACTTCAATTTTTAAAAGAAACAGCAATCAGTCTGACATAAATAACTGAGAAGCATCACAGTGCTGATCCCAGGAAACCTAGATAGAAAATTCACATTTATCAGACAATTTAACAGATAGGTGTTTTCACCATAAAGATAACACATTGTACCAATGGAGTCACTATTTTTATGCAAATGTGTTGGTTTACAGGTCCTTAATATTGTTGGAAGTCACTGAAAATAAGCACCTTTGAAAAGATAAAGCATCTCAAATTATAGGCAGATTAAAATGATCCCTCCATGGCTGGCTCCTCCCTGTCATTCATATCTAGGCTTCCGTATCTCCTCAGAGGCTTCCCTGGTGGTTCTGACGGTGAAGAATCTGCCTGCCAATGCAGGAGACCCAGATTTGATCCCCAGGTCAGGAAGATCCCTTGAAGGAGGAAATGGCAACCCATTCCAGTATTCTTGCCTGGTGAATCCCATGGACACAGGATATTTCCTGACTGTCTGAGCTAAGGCAGCCACCTGCCATTCTCACACTTTCATTTAATTTTAGTATAAACTATCATCATCTGATAATCTTTCGCCTGTCTCCCTCTGTAGAGTCATAAACTAATGAGAGCACAAAGCTTACCCAGCTTGTTTCTCCAGTACCTAAACCTCTGCTTGTCACCAATACTTTATGAATGAAAGAAAGGAAAACAACTATTTAACCTGCATTGTCAAGTTTCAGTAATACCTGCTGCATTGAAGGAAGTTCTCCCTGTATTTTTTCAAAAGGAAAATCCATGTCATAACAATTCATACATTACAACATTTAAACATGATGTTTATGATGTAAATAGGTAGGCGTGTCCTTATACGCAGAAAATATACACTTAAGTTTTGAGAAATATGATGGAAAATTGTGTTTGTACTTAAGTTTTGAGAAATATAAAGGAAAATTGTGTTTGTAAGTTATTCTAAAGTGGTTCAGAAATATCAACAATTGGGAAATCTAGGTGGAGGGTATAAGGAACTCTGAACTATTTCTGCTTTTACATCAATTTAAAATTACTTTATATACATACATATGTATATGCTAAAAATTTTCAAAAAACAAAACTTATAAACAGCTGACAATCTAAGCAAGAAGCTATAGCTTTCAAAAAAATGCATAAAAGGATCTTTAAAGGAAGCAGATTTTTTTTTTATGAACACAAAATTCTTTAATGGGGTAATGAATGATACTTTCTGTTTTTTATCAACCTTACCCTCTAAGGTATTTCTTTTTTTTTTTTTTTACTGTTTTTTTAAATTTATTTTTTTATTGAAGGTTAATTGCCTTACAGAATTTTGTTGTTTTCTGTCAAACCTCAACATGAATTAGCCATAGGTATACATATATCCAAACCCTTCTGAACCTCTCTCCCATCTCCCTCCCCATCCCACCCCTCTAGGTTGATACAGAACCCCTAGTTGAGTTTCCTGAGCCATAAAGCAAATTCTCATTGGCTGTCTATTTTACAAATGGCAATGTAAGTTTCCATGTCACTCTTTCCACACATCTCACCCTCTTCTCCCCTCTCCCCATGTCCATAAGTCTATTCTCTATGTCTGTTTCTCCACTGCTGCCCTGTAAATACATTATTCGGAATCATTTTTCTAGATTCCATATATGTGCGTTAGAATACAATATTTATCTTTCTGACTCACTTCACTCTGTATAATAAGTTCTAGGTTCATTCACCTCATCAGAACTGACTCAAATGCACTTTTTATGTCTGAATAATATTCCACTGTGTATATGTACAACTTCTTTATCCATTCATCTGTTGACGGGCATCTAGGTTGCTTCCATGTTCTAGCTGTTGTAAATAGCGCTGCAATGAACAGTGAAATACATGTGTCTTTTTCAACCCTGGTTTCCTCAGGGTATATGCCTAGGAGTGGGATTGCTGGGTCATATGGTGGTTTTATTCCTAGTTTTTTTAAGGAATGCTCCATACCGTCTTCCATCGTGGCTGTATCAATTTACATTCCCACCAACAGTGCAAGAGCATTCCCTTTCCTCCACACCCTCTCCAGCATTTATTGTTTGTAGACTTTTTGATGATGGCCATTTTGACCGATGTAAGGTGGTATCTCTTGGTTTTGATTTGCATTTCTCTAATAATGAGTGATGTTGAGCATCTTTTCTTGTGTTTGTTAGCCATCTGTATGTCTTCTTTGGAGAAATGTCTGTTTAGGTCTCTTTCCCACTTTTTGATTGGGTTGTTTTTCTGGTATTGAGTTGTATGAGCTGCTTGTATATTTTAGAAATTAATCCTTTGTCAGTTGTTTCATTTCCTATTATTTTCTCTCATTTTGAGGGTTGTCTTTTCACCTTGCTTACAGTTTTCTTTGCTGTGCAAAAGCTTTTAAGTTTAATCAGGTCCCACTTTACTTTTGTTTTTATTTCCATTACTCTAGGAGGTGGGTCATAGAGGATCTTGCTTTGATTTATGTCATCCAGTGTTCTGCCTATGTTTTCCTGTAAGAGTTTTATAGTTTCTGGTCTTACATTTAGGTCTTTAATCCATTTTGACTCTATCTTTGTGTATGGTGTTAGCAAGTATTTTAATTTCATTCTTTTACATGTAGTTGTCCAGTTTTTCCAGCACCATTTATTGAAGAGGCTGTCTTTGACCCATTGTATATTCTTGCCTCCTTTGTCAAAAATAAGGTACCCATAGACACCTGAGTTTATTTCTGGGCTTTCTATCTTGTCCCATTGGTCTATATTTCTGTTTTTGTGCCAGTACCATATGTCTTGATGACTGTAGCTTTTTAGTATAATCTGAAGTCAGGAAGAAGCAGCATTTTAAAATGACCAATAACACAATAGGGCTTCCCTTGTAGCTTAGATGGTATAGCATCTGCCTGCAATGCAGGAGACCTGGATTCAATCCCTGGGTTGGGAAGATCCCCTGGAGAAGGAAAAGGCTACCCACTCCAGCATTCTTACTTGGAGAATCCCATGGACAGGAGAGCGTGGTGGGCTACAATCCATGGGGTCACAAAGAGTCAGACATGACTGAGCAACTAACACATACAACACTATAAAATAGAATAGAATAGCACACTTCTTTCTAGGGCCCCTCTTAATCTTGTGTTTTAAATATGAGCAACGAGGCAAATTCAGCCAGTGGGACTTGCAGTTTTTCCCTGCTGGCCTCTGAGCCAGACACTGATGTATGCACAGGTTCTGGTGAGCATGGCTAACAAGGGACACACAGGCAGTGGGCTCCCACGAGCATACTATGATTCTGGAATATGACACGAAAAAGACAGGCTGTGAGGTACGAGGAATTCCCGGCGCATCCTCTCCAGGCCCTCCTCCCTCTCCATTCAAGAAAGTATTTCAGAATGCAAGGGCGTGATAGGTGAGACAGTGCCTTTAGAGAGATAACCTTCATTCTACTTCAAAGTGAGAAGTAAATCAACTGCCAGCCTTGAGAGTATTTTGACACCTTTCCTATGTGGGGACACTGTAAGATGGAACATGTTCAAATAGTAAATCAGTATCCTTTCCCCCTGTGCCTTCTAACATGCCTTCAGCATGAGAAAGGCTGGAAAACTGAAAACTACACATCTTAGACTGTTTCCAAGTTAGGAGTCTGGCTACCAGTTAAAGACACGCCCGAGACACACACGGCAGAGGAGGTAGAGTCCTCTTCCTGCGGCTTTGGCGGGTCTCTGCTCGCAAGTAAAGTCACGGAGACGCCAGCTCCACAATCCTGCTTCCTGGGGGCGGCAGCGGGGGCCAGACTGCAGGTTCCCTGTCTAGGCAGCTGTGGTGGCAGCTTCCTGGTCCTAGGGTCACAGCTAAAGCAGTGTGTTCTTAAACTTCCGCCTTGTCCAAAGGAGGCTTGAGAGGGAGGGAGGGGACAGATGTATATTTATGGCTGATTCACACTGTTGTACAGCAGAAGCCAACACAACCGTGTAAAGCAACTACCCTCCAGTTAAACATTTAAAAATCTCTAAGTAGTTTCTGTTTTTTAGGCTAGACTCTGATAAACTACATCACACCACTGAAGTGGCAGTTCAAGTATTAGGTAATCAGAAAATCACAGTAACCCATGACTATGAAAACACTGGGTTTTCCTGGTGGCTCAGATGGTAAAGAATCTGCCTGCAATGCAGGAGATCTGGGTTCAATCCCTAGGTCAGGAAGATCCCCTGGAGAAGGGAATGGCTCTCTTGTTTCTCTCCTGGTTAAGAACCACTTTTTTAAGTGACAGAAAGAAAGAATCAGCATCATATCAGAGTTACATCTGGAGAAGGCATTAATAATGCTAAGTGTATCCATAGGCTACTTCAGTTTACAAAACAGTTTTACATACACTGCCTCATTTGATGTTCACAACACGGGAATTAAGGTTTCACAATGATATAGCTGATAAAGTAGAGTTTTGCTCAGGGTTCTATATGTACCATGGATTTGGAGATTACCACTGGGAAAAAATATCATAGCTATGAAAGTATCAGCTAACAATGCCTACTCATAAACTATAAATTTGTTAACAGGTAGACTTTCAACAGTATTTTCACGCTTAATCCAGGAATACTGTGGCTAAACTGTGGCTGCTACATTAAGTATGAAGCTTCAAATACTCTATAGGAAAAAAAAAAAAAAACACCTATAAATTTCAATGAATAACAAATTAGCACCAGGGTAAGTTTGGAAAAGATCAGAAGTAAGAAATGACTCCACAGCCTTACAGTCAAGTTCTCCACAATACAAGCTATTGTGACAAGGACCCATCTAGGTTTAGTAATCAGGAAATCTAGTGAAAGGCAAAAATTAGTTTCTCAGCTCCTTCAATCATGAGTCCTACAGGATTCTGAACACTAATCAAAGTTAAAACATTCTCTAGGTCTACTCAAGTTACCACCAGTATTTTCAAAGTCAAACTAGGAGGTAGGGGATAGGAAGCTGAAGCTGGAACCATCACTGTACTTTCTTACCTAATCAACTACCCCCAATCAGAAAGGAGACTCAGACATTTTTAAAAGGGCACAACATTGAATAAAACATCTGCATTAGTTATAGCTAGCATTGTGCTTGTTATAACTTACTTAGTCATTGTGAAATGTTAGTTACTGCATTATCCTTTGTGCTATAAAAAATCTAATTTATTGAAAGTTCTACATTTTTAATCCAAAAAATCTTAAAAACTTTTTTTAACAAAAGAGGGATTTGTTTTTATACTTTAAAGATGGTTTCCTTTTCTTGGATGTACTTGTGAATGTAACAGTTTCTCTATAAAGTATGTCTATGTTTATTCTGGAAAAAACTAAAGTCTCAGAAAAGCATGGTAGAGGTATCACTTGGAAACTGTTCTGCAGAGCAGTTTAGAAATCTTTACCAAGGCTTTAAAAATGTTCCTGCGCTTTAACTTAGTAATCTGAAATTTTCAGGATAATTAGAAGAAATGATGAGAGATTTGAGGCATAAAGTCAATGCAAGGATTGCTCATTGCATTATTAATTATAATAGCAAAAATCAATAGGTTCATAAATTGTGATACATACATTTTATGAACTACAACATAGCCTCTTGCAAAGAATATTCACAATCATGGGAACATGTGATATACAATATATATGCATTTGTGTGACTGTAAGTGTATGACTATCAAAACACTATCATTAGTTATTAAAGGTAGGATTGTGGTTTTTTAGATTTAGATATCTTGTAAGATAAATTTTCCAAAATATTATTTTTTATCTAGTTAAACTCTGAAAGCTGTTTTTAGCACTGACTAGTTAGTTGATGATATTATAGAACTACCATTAATAATTATCATGTGATCTTTATTCCATTATTGTGTGACAAAAGCATTTGGTGATATTAAGAAAAAACCATGTATTTTAGAGACAGACATGAAAATCAATACAGATGAAATATTATGATTTAGATTTATTACAAAATAACCCCACCCTGGGGTGGGGGGGGTGGTACAAGAGTAAATAGCATGGGAGACAGGGGCGTAAAAGCCAAGATGGATTTACATGTAGATCCATGGCTAATTCATGTCAATGTATGACAAAAACCACGGCAATGATGTAAAGTAATTAGCCTCCAACTAATAAAGAAGAAAAAAAAAACCCAAGATGGCCAATGTGCTGATATTTGTTACATGTGGGCAACAGATAAATCAGGGTTCTCTATGCTAGTTTCTCTACTTGCAAATAAATTTGAACTTTATCATATTTAAAAAATAAAAAAGTTAATTTAAAAATTGTAAAGGGAGTGACAAACACTAATAAGCACTATTTTGAGATTTTTATACAGAACTAAATTCATTAATCTATCACTGAATAAAGACTAGAAATATCTCACATTAAGAGGATGTCAGTAGATCAGAACTTTCCTTCATATACTTCTGAGTTGTGACTTAAAAAAAAACAGAAAACAAGGTAAATATTATCTTCATTACATCATCCAATGTAAAATGCGCCAACATTTTAGATACAGCTAAAGTACTACCAAATATGATGTGTAAGAGTCTTTCGCATTACAGAGATGTTGAAATGTGAAAAATATGTGCATCTTAGAATTGATAAAATATAGTAAATAATAGGCCAGACTCAGCCACTGCCTTAGTTCTCTGAGCTGGGATCATAGAATGTGAATATCTATTAGAGATCTTGTGATGGTAAGATCGGAGTTTTATCTTTAAAAAGAGAAAAGGGGATGAAGACCTGTGAATAATGGTTACTGGCAATGATAATGATATGGGTGAAATTTCTATTTTGAGGACACTTATACAGCTCGGCACAAAGTTAGGTCCTAGGAGCTGATGGTTGAGATTTACAGTTCCTCTCATGCCCCCGATGCTGATGGGCCTCTGGCACCCCCCAGTGTGGTAATGAGCAGAGTGGTTAAGCACCAGCTCCATTTGACAGTGTGTTCTCCTATGACAAATGGTGTTTTTCCTATTAATTGACAGGAGAACTTTGTAGGGTTAGTCAGGTAACCAAGAAGTATATTCAAAGGACCACAGGGCTTTGTTCTTGCCTTGATCCAATTCCATTTTTCTTCTGATGACTGAAATTTTACAAGGCTTCCTTCACCCTATTTCATGAAAATTTAATTAGTACTGAGGCAACGTTTTCTCCTAAAACTATATTTGATTTCAGTTTATTAGCTATAAATTTTTAAAAACTACATTCAAATGTTCATAGGGTCAGTCACTAGTCAGTCTTTTTAAAAAGGAGAGAGAATTCTAAATATAAGGAGAGAATTCTAAATAAAATAAATGGTTAGGTCAAAGCTATATGTCTACAAATAGACAAAGCCAAGATAAATAGAAAATATGCAGTTTTAATATGGTACCAACTACTTTACTTTTCAAAGTAGGCTTCTCTTCTCTTCCGTAGCTCTTCTGAAGTAGGATGTGAACCCGATGTCTGTGGGATATCTTGACATCTATTTCTGGAAGTACCTGAAAACCAAATAAAACACAACAAAAAACAGTTTTATTTACCAAGTCATGACGTGTTTATACTTAGGTGAAGGAGGTTTCAAAAAGTTTTCTTCTCAAAACTATTCTGTACCATTCTGTAAATGTAAGAAAGTCTCTGAAAGATTCAGGGAAAATCAGAATAAGGTAGTTCAATCTAACCTGTGTCCACTGCAACCACACCTACTTCCATTTGTGACACAGTGGACATGAGGTAAGCTCAATGACCATCTGGTAGGAGAAATAACTAGCACCACACTTGCTTGCTCTTATTAGAAATGAATCTACACTTTAAAAAATTAATTAATTAATTAATTTGGCTGCATTGAGTCAGCTGTGGCACGTGGGATCCTCCTTGCACCATGGGGAATCTCTGCTTGAGGCACACAGACCCTCTTGTTATAGCACTTGTGGGCTTAGTTGCTCTGAGACATGTGGGATTTCAGTTCCTTGACCAAGGATTGAACCCATGTCCCCTGCATTGCAAAGAGGATTCTTAACCAATGTACCACACCAGGGAAGTCCCAGAAATCAATCTACACTTTTGAAGGCACAGAATTCCGAGAAGTAACTTAAAGTGGAAGATTGTAAAATAAACCCATTCTGTGTATTCCTCTATCTTCAAACATTTGGGTACTGACACAACTTAAGTATGTTTCTGTGTTCTTACTAAATTATTGCTCCAATCAGATTCTGCACAAATTGTGGAATGACATGGGAAGAAGAGTAAAGTACACAAAAATATCTAAAACTAATAAGGCTGGTGTCTGTCTACCACTGGGCTAACCTAGCAGGACTCTGCTAATCCACAATGGGCCTGTGCAGCATTACAGAGTGCTCAGACGTGGCCAGGAGGCATGAGCAGTTCGGGACAAAATATAGCATAAAAAGGATAATCTTCATATTAACAGAAACCCAATTTTATGTAGATCCTTAAGGAATTCAATTGATGAGTAATTTCATTAGAAAGTAAAAGGCAAATTCACATTAGACAAAAACAAAACAACTCCTCCCCAAAAGAAAACCATCACACTTTTTAAGTAAGCCCCTTTGAGCAGCGTCCCAGACATCTCCCTCCACTTGGATTCCCTGGGGTGGGAGAGGGACGGGAGTGGGTGGGGGAAGAGGTGTGGTGAGCTAAAAGAGTGAGCCCACCAAAGTGAGCTTAAGCTAAAAGTTCCACAGCCGGTAAGTTTCAGAGTTTTGTAAAATCAATTTATAGTCTCTGTCCAGACCTTCCTTCACAGCCACTAGAATGCATTTAAACAGCTGGTCTGGGCAAGGGTCCACTAACCTCACAATGACTAGCTCCGTTTAGTACTGTGTTTGCACAGTATTATAACCAAATGGAATGACCAGAAATAAAAATATAACTAGTCCTAATATAACACAAGTCATAAAAAGTTATATGTATTAAATAATATCCAAAAGTTATTTGTATTAAATAATATCTAAAAAAACAATAACTGATTATATATAGCTACTGCTTCTGCAGTGACTGTCAAAGAACTTCTACCAATAGTATATTAATTTCCAGAAGAACTAAAAATGATCTAAATCAATTGCTTCGACAACAAATAAAGTAAGTGCTGGAATGTCCATACCTTGCATACTGAGCTGAATGGCCCTGCGGAGATCGGCTTCTTCATCTTCCATGTCAATTTCCTGGCGACTTAGCGCGAGAGCCCTCTGCAAGTCCTCCTCATCCTCGTCTAACATTCCTGTCCCATCATTTACTTCTAAGACGCGTTCTAGATCTGTTTTCTGGACTCTAAAGAATAAAAGCACAAATAATAACTGCAGACCGTTCTTCTATTTTCGCTATAGAGACATTTATAAACCAAAGATGTTTATGTAAGTTGAAAACGTACAGTTTTTTTTTTTGCAGATAACGTCTAATCATACAAAGGTTCTATTGTGATATGAATTTGTGTTGGGAAGTACACTTAAATAATTCAGAGAGCTGATTCAAAGTTAAACCAATAAGCTACACTTAAACAGAAAGGTCTAAAAAAACCCCACCAACAATAAAAGGACCACATCTTCAATGTAAGTATGTAAACTTAATTCTTATAATGAAATACTATCATATACCCAACACTACAAGCCCAGCTTTACCTCTGTTCTTTAAGTTGTGCTAATTCTTCTCCAATAAGTTTTGGTCGATGCATCTGTTGGACCCTGATCATCTGTAGAAGTTGGTCAGCTTCGCAATCTGGCAGATCACCCTTAACAACAAATATAGAGTAACCTAAAAAAAAAAGGCAAAAATTATCTACAACAGCTAGCAAGCGATTCAAAATTGATTGAAAACGATAGCAGATAGAGAGGCAGCACAACAGCAGGAAGACCACAAACCAAGGAGTGAGGAAGACCTGGGTCCAAATAATGGTTCTTACACTTACCAGTGGGGTGGTCTAGGACAAATTACTTAAGGTCTTTAAGCCTCACTTCCATATATATAAATTTCTTCAATTGGTTTTAGTTGGATCTTTCGTTGTGGCATGTGGGCTTAGCTGCTCGGTTGTGTGTAGGATCTTATTAATAGTTTCCCAACCAGGAATCAAACCCATGTCCCCTTCATTGCAAGGCAAATTCTTAACCAATGGACAACCAAGGAAGTCCCTCTAAGCCTCTTCACCTGTAAAATGTGAATAGCCATCTCACAGATTGACTATGAGAAGTATTTGAATCTGAAAAGGGCTCTAATTAAGTAAGAACATGGAAACATACCTAATTTGTGTTTAGTAATTTGTGCAGAATCTGACTGGGGCAATAATTAAGAGGCTTCCCTGGTGGCTCAGCTGGTAAAGAATCTGCCTGCAATGTGGGAAACCTGGGTTCGATCCCTGGGTTGGGAAGATCCCCTGAAGAAGGGAACGACTACCCACTCCAGTATTCTGGCCTGGAGAATTTCATGGACTGTGTGGGGTTGCAAAGAGTCGGACACGACTGAGCAACTTTACATTCACTTTTCATGGAAATATACTTAAAACATACTAAAACAGTGATTGACCAAGTAGCTTACTCCATAAGGGACAACAGAAAGGCAACGAAAGGACTGAGGAAGAGCAAGGAGTGTGCACTCAAGACAGCCTGGGTTTTAGTGCCCTGGCGCTTCTGTTGCCTAACTGCCTCTCTTGATCACTTTACCCTCCATGTCTTGATTTCTTCAACTGTTAAACAGATTATGCTGTACCTTCCGCAGAGCGCTGTTTGAGGACACAATCAGAGGATGTGTGTAACAATCTGCAATACAGGTGAAGTGAGTCATCTGTGTAATAGATGACCCTGACACACACCCTTTCTAACTGAAAACAGGACCTGGAAATTCTAGTCAAGGTGCTGAAGATGTGGTTCATGTTTTGAAAAAAATTACATTCGTCCAATGTAATTTTTTAATTAATACAATTCTGGAAAGCCAAGGTTTTCCCAGCTGGCTACTCCATACAACAGCCGAATAAGGGTGGGCTATACGTAAGTCATTTTGATCAATTTTCGTTTCTCTACCATAAATTTTCTTCAACTTTGGTGCTTATTATAGATATTCTTTATGAGCATTAACAGAAAATGAAATTAAAAAAAGATGAAAAGGCCTATTAATGGAAAAACTCAAGAGTAAATCATAATACACTTAACACTTTTTTTTTGCAAGGACAAGTATACTCAGAGTTCAGATGGTTGAACAGATTTTATGCCAGTAAAACTGTTGTCTAGGTTGTGGATATACTATGTTAGCTCCCCATGCTATTCCATGAAGAGCATCATGAAGGGCAGAAACTGCTTTTTACAGAGGTGACATTGTGAGGATTTTGGGTTTTATTCAAGATTAGATTTCATTCTAAGTGTGCTAGGAAGCCACTGAAGGTTTGAAGAGTAAAAGTATACCACAATGTGCATTATATTTTAAAAAGACTACTCTAGGCTGCCTTCTCAATGTAATATATAGGAAGCAATGTGCAAGAAGAGTGGGGCTTATGAAAATGGAAAGTCTGAGGGACAGCAAGTATGGGAAGAAAAAAAAATGAGTCTTTTGTAAACCTATTCAGATTGACATGATTTCTGAACTTCTGAGTGGAGATGAGAAAGTTAGGAGTTTGGTGTTTAGGGTAGATGTCTCGGCAAAAGATACAAGTCTAAGGAATTACTGGCAGATAGACTTTATTTAGAGATGATATTTAAAATAATGGGACAGCACACAGTCAAGAAGTTGTCCAAGACTGACTCTGGGTCACTTCATTAGATAGAGATTAAAAAGTAGGATCCACAAAAGGCATCTGAAAGAAGCAGCCAATATGATATGAAATAAACATAGTGGCTTGGAAGAGTAGTATAGACAGTATTTCAAAAAGGGAAGATATAGTTAGGAACAAAGGTCTTAGGCATAAAAGAAAAGAGATAAAAGTATATAAAGTCAAAGACGTTACAACATAATGATCCTACATGTAAACTGAAGAGACCTACATGACAACCAACCTAGTAGCAATAAGCACACCAGTGCACAGACTGTGAGCTCGCATCACCGTTACTAAAAGGGAAGGAAATACACAAGACTGAAAATTCTTATTATATGGCCTAAAAAGGGCTTCAAAAGGCTAGAGTGGTCATTTCAAAAGCTTGAGAGTTAAGTTCAAAAGGTTCCCACTCACCCAGGATGTGACAATATTGAGTATCAACAGTAATTACAACAGACTAAAACATATGAACTACGGTTTATTTATTCCGGCTGTGCTGGGTCTTTGTCGCTGCTTGGGCTTTTCTCTGGTTTTGGGGAGCAGAGGCTACTCTTTAGTTGTGGTGTGTACACTTCTCATTGCACTGGTTTCTTTTGTTGTGGAGAACCAGCTCTGGAGCGTGGGCTATAGTAGTTGTAGCTCATGGGCTCAGAAGTTGTGGTTCCAAGTCTAGACCGTAGACTCAAGAGTTGTGGTGAAGAAGAAGGTGAGTCACTCAGTTGTGCCTGACTCTTTGCGACCCCGTGGACTGTAGCCAGCCAGGCTCCTCTGTCCATGGGATTCTCCAGGCAAGAGTACTGGAGTGGGGATACACAGGCTTAGTTACCCCATGGCATGTGGGACCTTCCTGGACCAGGGATGGAACCCGTGTCTCCTACAATGGCAGGTAGATTCTTTACCACTGAGCCACCAGGGGAGCCCTAACTATGATTTTAATAGATTAGTTTACAATGACAGCACAGAAACCAACCAACTGGTTACCTTTGGAGACAAGATACTATGAGCAAATATTTAAAACTGATAAAAGGCAAGAAATATTTATCCTGCTTTTTCTGCATGAATTATATACTTCAAGATAACCAAATAGTTGATGAAGGAAAGTCTATTTGTATAGAAGTCCTCCAGCTAATAAATGAAGAAATGATGGAAATCTAATTAATGAACTAACAGACTAGGCATTTATTATTAGCAGCTACTCAAATCACAAAAAGAGAGACAACTGGACATTAAGTGCCACACCATCTATGAAGAATATTCTGTCCTCCCAAAATCAACTTAAATGTGATCAAGTCTCTAGATCTAAGGACCAGTCTGTTGCTCATCAAGGGCTCAGAGGAAAAAAAAAAAAAAAAAGGATGCAACAAGCAAAATCTAGAATGTGAGAAACAGAACAAATGACCCATTTTCTTCAAAAGAATAAGGAAAAAAAATAAAGAGAAGAAACTAATAGATAGGTTTTAGAGACACAGCAATCCAATGCAATCAATGACCCTTATTTCAACCTGGTTTAACTACACTAAAAAAAAAAAAAAGAACAACAATCAAAATCGAGATTAGAGGACTTCCCTGGGGGCCCAGTACTAAAGAATTCACCTGTCAATGCGGGGGACACAGGTTCAGTCTCTGGTCCAGGAAGATTCCACACGCCATGGGGCACCTGAGCCTGTGCGCCACCACTGCTGTGCCCACCACTACTGTGCCCACCACTGCTGTGCCCACCACTACTGTGCCCACCACTGCTGTGCCCACCACTACTGTGCCCACCACTGCTGTGCCCACCACTGCTGTGCCCACGTGCCCTGGGGCCTGTGCTCTGCAACAAGGGAAGCCATGCAATGAGAATGGCGTGCACTCTAACTAGAGAGCAGCCTCCATTCGCCACAACCAGCAAAAGCCCGTAAGTAGCAGTGAAGACCCAGCACATCCAAAAATAAAACATTAATAAATTTTAAAAGGCTACTGAGAAATTTAATTCTTAGGTAGGATGACAAGGAATCTCCTCCCAAGGAGGAGAAAGGGACAAATATTTTTTCCTATATTCCTTTGTCTTACTCACATAAGACATCCCCCCCCCCACTTAAACGCTGAGTTGTTATGACAACACTCTATTTTGCCTAAGACTAACTTTGTTTAGTTTCACTTGCACTCGTCTCACATGCTAGCAAAGTAATGTTCAAAATTCTCCAAGCCAGGTTTCAACAGTATGTGAATCATGAACTTCCAGATATTCAAACTGGATTTAGAAAAGGCATAGGAACCAGGGATCAAATTGCCAACATCCACTGGATCATCGAAAAAGCAAGAGAGTTCCAGAAAAACATCTACTTGTGCTTTATTGACTATGCCAAAGCCTTTGACTGTGTGGATCACAACAAACTGTGGGAAATTCTTAAAGAGATGGGAATACCAGAACACCTGACTTGTATGCAAGGTTTCTCAGATTCCTGAGAAATCTGTATGCAAGTAAGAAGCAACAGTTAGAAGTGGACATGGAACAACAGACTGGTTCCAAATTGGGAAAGGAGTACGTCAAGGCTGTATATTGTCACCCTACTTATTTAACTTATATGCAGAGTACATCACGTGAAAAGCTGGGCTGTATGAAGCACAAGCTGGAATCAAGATTGCTGGGAGAAATATCAATAACCTCAGATATTCAGATGACACCACTCTTATGGCAGAAAGTGAAGAGGAACAAAAGAGCCTCTTGATGAAAGTGAAAGAGGAAAGTGAAAAAGCTGACTTAAAACAGCATTCAAAAAACCAAGGTCATGGCATCCAGTCCCATCACTTCATGGCAAATAGATGGAGAACAGTGGAAACAGTGATAGTCTTTATTTTTGGGGGCTCCAAAATCACTGCAGATGGTGACTGAAGCCATGAAATTAAAAGACGCTTGCTCCTTGGAAGAAAAGCTATGACCAACCTAGACAGCATATTAAAAGGCAGAGACATTACTTTGCCAAAAAAGGTCCACCTAGTCAAAGCTACAGTGTTTCCAGTAGTCATGAATGGATGTGAGAGTTGGACTATAAAGAAAGCTAAGCACCAAAGAATTGATGCTTTTGAACTGTGGTGTTGGAGAAGGCTCTTTAGAGTCCCTTGGACTGCAAAGAGATCCAACCAGTCAATCCTAAAGGAAAGCAGTCCTGAATAATCATTGAAAAGACTGATGCTGAAGCTGAAACTCCAATACTTTGGCCACCTGATGTGAATGACTGATTGGAAAAGACCCTGATGCTGGGAAAGATTGAAGGCAGGAGGAGAAGGGGACAACAGAGGATGAGATGGTTGGATGGCATCACCGACTCGATGGACATGAGTTTGAGCAAGCTCCGGGAGTTGGTGATGGACAGGGAGGCCTGGCGTGCTGCGGTCCAGGGGGTCGCAGAGTTGGACACGACTGAGCGACTGAGCTGACTGAAGACTAGTGAGTGGGGCACTCTGCCCTCTCCTGCTGTCCATGTCAGAAGCTTTCCCTAGCCCTTTTCCACTGTCATAAAACTTTTGCCATAGGAAGCTCTGAGTGCCTGAAGCGTCGTCTCTAGTCCTGATGCTAAATTCTCTTCTTTGGAGATAAAAAATAGAACATACTGTTCACCTAAGCTATCACTACTCTTAAAAAAACAAAAACAAAAACAGGCAATGAGAAATTTGAGTTGACTAGTTGGTGCTATTAAAGAATTGTAATTAAATGTTTATATGTCATTAGAGTATAGTGGCTACATGTATATTTTTAAAGAGTCTTTGCTTTTAAAGATTTTAATTTAAAAAATCTACAAAGATGATAAGATAATGAGTATTTTCTTAGAATAAACTGGAAACAGAAGTGGGTAGGGTATAGGTAAAATAAGACTGGCCATGAGATATTTGTTGAGGTTTGATGAAAGGTACATGAGGGTCCATCACATTGTTTTCTATACTTTTATACTTGTTTGAAACTTTTGATAACAAAATTTTGTTTCATTCTCTTTAAAGGAGTGTATACTAAACTATACTCTCAAAAAAGATGATGTCAAAGGAAGACTGAGAACTGAATACTGGCATTGGCAAATTGGAGGTCATTGGAGACACGGGGAAGAGGGTTTTCAGTGACAGGTTGGTTATCACAGTGTAACTGGAATGAGTTCGTGCATAGGAGACAATACACTAGAGATGATTATAAGGAGAAAGTAAAAATGGGAGACAGCTGGAGCTTCCTGGCATTAAAAGCTTTTTCTTTTTAATCAATGGAGAGAAAGAGCTTATTTCTCTACAGTAAGAATAATAAGATAAAAGCGGGAAACTACATAGGAGAGTACAGCAACAAAAGCAGAAGTTAAGATCCTGAGTACGTGGGAGGAGCTGAGATCTAACCCCAGAGTGGAGACACTGGACGTGGTTAAGAGCAGGGAACAGCTCACCTGCTCTCATAGGCTGAAAGCACAGGAGAGAGAGAAGCTGGGTGATGATCTGCTGATAGAAGAATGAGGATGTTCTCTTTTAATTGCTCCTGTTTCCATAGTAGAATATAAAGGACAGCCATAAGCTAGGAGTCAGGAAGCGGGAGGGGATGGTGAGAGGTCTGAAGGGTGAAACTGTGTAATCGTCATCCTAGGAAGTGGTAGGTGAGCTTACTGCAAGAATGTGGTAGGGCTATCAAGTAGCACTGAAGGCTCGTTTGAATTTGTGATCCTAAACTTAAAGCAAAATTGATCATATTTTATGTTGTATCTTTAACCATGCTCAACTGCTCTGATGGAGGAGGACTGGACAAGTCCAAGACTGGATTTTAACCAGGGTTGGGGTTTTTGTCATGAAAGTATGATGGAGGGCGAAAGAGAAAGGAGCTGAGAAGCGCAACAGTGTGTTATAGCGATAATCACTGAATGATAATGAATTATAATGATGATTACAGAAAACAGGTGGAGTAATATAGGAAGTAAGGACCTAAGGGGAATGTTTAGGCTTGTAGTATGGTTTAAAGAATTATTACAAAGGAAAAAACCAGAGAGAATATGGTATAAAGATAGGAGACAATAGTCTAAGAATAGGACGCTTATAATTAGATTTTGAAGGTGGTACAGTTATTAGTAATGGCAAGCAAGAGTGAAAAAAACGATCTTTGAAAGTAAGACGCAAGAGATTGGATTGGGCTGATTTTTGATGTAGAAATCACCAAGAATGATGAAAAGAGTTGAAGTAGAGCCATGATAGTGAGTCAGATCTTAAATCTTCAGTGGAAAAGAAGGAAGATCAGACTTCAAAAGACTGCAAAAGAGCAAGGGGCAGACTTTACTCTAGTGATACATATTTCAAAGGAGCTGTAGTTTTTAGGGAAGAAGAGTGACCCAGAAGGGGTAAGGATGAACAACAATACCTAAGCTTCCCCTTGGCTCTGTGGTATGTGGGGTCTGGAAGACAAAAAAGCCATAACATAGAAGGTCTGCAAAGGAATCAGCCTCATCAGGGGAGGGCCAGGTGTCAGCAAGAATGCCAAGAGAGCTGCTGCTGCTAAGTCGCTTCAGTGGTGTCCGACTCTGTGCGACCCCATAGATGGCAGACCACCAGGCTTCCCGGTCCCTGGGATTGTCCAGGCAAGAACACTGGTGTGGGTTGCCATTTCCTTCTCCAATGCATGAAGGTGAAAAGTGAAAGAGCAGGATGATTCAAATCACAGCTTAAAGCTCACCATGTAAAACAAAGATTATTTTCCTGCCTCTGTCACAAAAGCACTATTGTTACACTTACTTCTAAAGAGATGGTTTTATTTAGCTATGCTTACTTCTAAAGAGAAGGTTTTATTTAGCCACACTCACTTCTACTGAGACAGTTGCTACACAGTTGCTATACTCACTTCTAGTGAGACAGTTTCATTTAGCTACTTCAAAAGATATAAAGTGTTCAGTCTTTACTTACCTTCCTGTTGTAACTGAGCCAAGAAAAGTGCAAGGTATGTGTCTGATATTAATTCTGGACCCGTCAAAAGAGAATTCAAGTTGAACCACTGAAAAACAAATTGTCAATATTTAAGTTAGTGCATATTCTAAGTAATAAGTTTCACATGCTATGAATTGATATAACCCATCTAAACTTAGTAAGGCTGTTTAAACACTGAAAACATGTCAAATTAAGACTTTTTTTTTTCCATTTATTTTTATTAGTTGGAGGCTAATTACTTTACATCATTGCAGTGGTTTTTGTCATACACTGAAATGAATTAGCCATGGATTTACATGTATTCCCCATCCCGGTCCCCCCTCCCACCTCCCTCTCCACCCGATCCCTCTGGGTCTTCCCAGTGCACCAGGCCCGAGCACTTGTCTCATGCACCCAACCTGGGCTGGTGATCTGTTTCACCCTAGATAATATACATGTTTCGATGCTGTCAAATTAAGACTTTTTAAAAGTAATTAAATCATGCTGCTGCTGCTGCTAGGTCGCCTCAGTCGTGTCCGACTCTGTGCGCCCCCAGAGTCGGCAGCCCACCAGGCTCCCCCGTCCCTGGGATTCTCCAGGCAAGACCACTGGAGTGGGTTGCCATTTCCTTCTCCAAATCATACAATTTTTAAAAACTGAAATAAAATGCTGGAATCTTATCACTATTAAATGTTTTTAAAGCCTGCTGTAAGTCATAAACTTTAAATCCCCCCTTCAAAAAAGAAAAGAAACTGATAGTATTTTAAAGCATCCTTATTGTAGCCATAATTAAATCTTTTTCAAAGGAATAGTCCAACAAAACCCTAATCACATTATATTGATGTGGAAGAAAAATGACAACTATGAAGCTTTCCCACTGCTGATAATTTTGGTCAAAGTATTTTAATTGTGAGAAAGCTAGACATTCCAGGAAGAGAATTTTTAACTACCAACTCATTTTTAAAAGATCACTAAACCACTGCTGCATGTAATTAACATCATTTGTTCACTATTTCATGGACATCCTAATTTAACCCACAAGATAGAGCAGTTTCAGAAGTTATTGTCAGCATCATCACCAAATGCTTTTTGTGAATTTTACCAGAGATGATAACTATTTTTCTCATCTTTTTCTTTATACAGAGGCCTCAGACAAGAGTCTATAGTGAAAAATACAATTTTAATCAAAAATATAAATTAGGACCAAAGATGATAAGCCATAATTTGACATTTCCAGCACTGCCATTCCCTTCTCCAGCGGTTCCCAACCCAGGGATCAAACCCAGGTCTCTTGCATGGCAGGTAGATTCTTTATCATCTGAGCTACCAGGGAAGCTGAGTTTGTCAAAGATAATGTGAAATGTGTAAATTCAATTTTGAAGAACTAAAATTTACAAAATTTCTCAAAATAATAATGTAAGTTTACATGCAAATCAATACAAAGGAATTCCAGACTCTAAGACTTCAGATCTTGAAAGTGAAGAACAGCTGATCATATTTTAAAATATTTAAATAAAACCCCTAGGTTAAACACACTTGGGAGAATCCTGCCTTGGTTTTTCCCAGAGTTGATTCCTACCTGGGTGGGTCTCTCCTGTACCAAACCACACTTACTTACTTGCTCTTTGCCACCCAGGAGGGACCATTTAAAATGAAGCTGCTTCTAAGCAGCAAACTTAAAATAGTAGGGCTTTTGTTTTAGAATTATCTTGTATTGATTTAACTCAATGTACTCTTTCCTGATTTCCTTTTCTGTTTCATACTGGCTTATTTAAAAAAAAAAATCAGCAACAGCTCTATTTAAGTGTACTTGAAATGTAATAGACTGCACATATATTAAGTGTACAATTTGAAGTTTTAACATAGGTATATACCCATGAAACCATCACCACCACCAAGAGAGTGAACATTTTTGTCACTGCCAAGTTTCCCGGGCCCCTTGTAATCCTCCTTATCCATTGTCCCTTGCCTCCCTCATCCAGGCAATCACTGTCATTATAGATCAGTTTACATTTTCTATGCTTTTATATAAATGGAACACTATAATGAGCCCCTGGTGGCTCAGATGTTAAAGAGTCTGCCTGCAGTGTGGGAGACTCAGGTTTGATCCTTGTGTTGGGAGATCCCCTGGAGAAGGAAACTGCAACCCACTCCAGTATTCTTGCCTGGAGAATCTCATGGAGGGAGGAGCTTGGCAGGCTACAGTCCATGGGGTCACAAAGAATCGGATACAACTGAGCAACTTCACATTCTTCTTTCCTTTTCTATGGTATATAGTACTTTGTGTCTAGTTTCTTTCACTCAGCATAATTAATTTGAGATTCATCCATGCTGTTGCGTGTATCAATAATTCATTCTTTTTCATTACATTCATCTGTTTTCAATAACCCTCTTTCAAAGAGTCAAAATTCTGAGAAAAAGGACATTAAAAATTGTCTCAAAAATGGTATTGGGTATACAAAGACCACTGGTAATTATTTTTAAAAATAACACTTTTGGTACTTTTCTTGATCTTATAAAAATCTTGCTCAAGACACATTCCATTTTTTTTTAATAGAAATGATTTATGTAGACACATGTATTACATGGCATTTTGGAATGTGAATAACCTTGTTAAGCTAAAACAAACATGGCTGAAAATTTTATTCATACTGGACACTATTTCGGGCTTTGTGACACTGCTATGCTTAACACAAACTTAAGAAAAATAGAAGTTAGCTGACAGAACATCTTTGTCACATAAAAACTTACTTGTGTCTAAATATGGCTGTCTTGTCTTAAATAGAGAATTTTACTTACGTCCTATCTATCTAGGTTGTAACCAGGCCACAAATACACATTACTGGTGAGTTTCTTCATCTTTAAGGCACCAATCCCTTACACTTTAGTTGCAAATGAGGTACAGAATGAGAAAAAAGACAGGCAAGGAGGGGAAGCATTACCTGTTTTCCTAATTTTCTAACTGTAAACCAGTGTTCTTTATAGTTGCATATAAATGATCTTTCATTTCTAGAAACAGGAAAAAGCACATATGCATATTAACCTGAAATATTAGAATCATATTCATTTAGTTTGTCAATTAGAAAATACTATACAAGACCTATGATGACTCAGGATTATATTTACAGTTTTAAGAATCACTGATTTTTTAAGAATTACAAAACAGTATAAATCTCTGTGGAGATTGGTGATGCCATACAAAAGCAATAGCACAACACCCCATTCAAGGATCGGCTCTGCGCTGCCACACGTGGGGGGGTCAGGGAGGCTTGGGGACAGATGTTCACAGACAGCCCCGAAAGGCAAACCAGGAACACCTGAGGGGGTAAAATGGGGACTATCACAACAAAAGCAGGCCAGGCTTATTCTTCCCCTTTAAGAAAGTATAAATTTAAAAGTCAAACACAGGAAAAGCAAAATAATCTTACATGGGATCAATCCTGAGCCTCTGGTACTCTGGACTGTTAAACAGGATTAGTTCTAAACCCCAAACTTTCAAGGCATTGCTTATAACCTGTTAAAAAAAAAAATTTTTTTTTTAAAAATTCCAAATAAGTAGTGTTAAGGCATGTTAGAGTTGTAGAAACTCTAACTCTAACTCTATCTATTTTAGTTCATAGATAAATTTCCCCAGTAGGCTACGGGTTTTAAAGTGCACATGCATGTGTGTATGTGTGTGTGTGTGCATGTGGATATATCACTATATGCATCAAATATCCATAAATAACAATATAGACATAACATTCAAAAGAGTACCTTTTACACCAAGTTTCTGGAATTGTATGAGAACCATACAATTCCTAGATAGAACTGCCTCCAAAATCTAGACGTATATTCTATCCAATTAGTGCTACTCTTAAAGCAAGTCCATTGCATTCATTTGGCTGCTGAGTCCTGCTTTAGAAAGCTGACAGTCAACTTACTATACGGAATAATGATAATTTTACGTCTATTAAAATGAGTTATTTCTGAGGATTTAAACTGAAGTTTTCATCAAGTCTAAACTTCTTTTATCGTGGGTTTGTGATTTGTAGGAAACCAAAAGATACACTTGATTATTTCAAACTGAGGAGGAAAAAAAAGGAACATTTTTGAAAATTCACCACCTACCCTCCAAGGTATCCAACAAAGCAGCAAGTGAAGTAGGCATGAGTATAGACAAAAAGTGAATGATCTGTGCCCACTGCACAAACAGGAAATGGCAAGCGCTGAGCCCATTCAGGCCCCTGCTCTGGGCCCGTTACCTGTAACAGCAGGTAATAGCAGCTGTTACCTGTAACCATCCACAGTGAAGCCCTGGCTGGAAATGTTGGTGACCGAGGAGTCCAGGAGGATGGAACAGGAGAACACATGCAGAGATATCTGCAGGTCCCCCAAGAGAGGTTCTAAAGAACTCTGGATACACCTCATAGGTGTTAGGAATGGAATGAAAGATCCACAGATGAAAGAATCAGTCTCCCGGGTATCATATATATATTCACCCACAGAATTCAAGGGGAGCGATAAGTTCAAAAAAAGGGAAAAGACGAAAGCCACAGACCATAATGAAGGAATCCAATCTGGTAGGCTGATTTAAGTGCAAGGTTAGCAAAGGGTTCCCTTCTGTCCATGGGATTTCCCAGGCAAGAATACTGGAGTGGGTTGTCATTTCCTTCTCCAGGAGATCTTCCTGACCCAGGGAACAAACCTGCGTCTCCTTCATTGGCAGGCGGATTCTCTACCACTGATCCATGAGGGAAGCCTTTCAAATACTGTGACTTACTGGAATTACAGTTATTAGCACACAGATTCAAATTACCAACCTCCTTTGAAAAAGGAAGGCCTTCTCTAAAATGAAGAATCTACTGTCCTAATTTTCATGTTTATCTATATAGAAAACTAGTATTCTAAAGGATAATTGTATACTCTTATGCTCAATGTACTGGAGGAACTTCTGACGGTCACATCAATAAAGTGACTATGAACGTCTGTGAAAAGCACATCTTGAGCTCAGTGCCTGGGATATAAACAACACTTACCACATGCTTGTGACTACTTACTTGAATAGAGAAAAAGCCACTGTCATCCATATTTCCAGAAGGCTGCTGTTGAATTTGGAGAGGTGGTTGGGGTGGGGATTAAGGGTGGGGAGAGAAGTGTAAAGTGTCATTAGTGTGTGTATTTAAAATAACATCTTGTGCATTCCCATCTACAAAGCTGAGAGCTGAGTTATAATTAACAAGTCAGATCCCCATTGGAAGAGCAGCTCATCCCTTTCTAAACAGTACCCACTTTTTAAGAAGCATGATTTAGTGAATTTAAAATCGGTACCTGCAAAAATGTGCGATAGTCTTCACTAGTAACTCCTCCTTCTGCCATTCTCATCCTCTCTTCCTCATCTAGCTGATGTGCAATTGAAGATAATTCCACAGGGCTGAAGTATTCTCCTTGCAGTAGGTTATTCAAGCAATGCTGAGCACAAAGTGAGCCTTCTTGCTAATATTTCCAAAAGAAAAAATTCAAATGTGATTCGTAAAACAGATTTGTACAATATCTTCTCCAAAGAGATATGTAATCATTAACTTCTTAACACAGCCAAACCAAACAGTTTTAGCTTTAGAAACCATGAATAACCCAGGTATGGGTGTTTCCACTTGCTAACATTTATTTTATAATTTTACCACTAATGTAACTACAATTATGTGATCAATTATATGGTCAAAAACAATGATTTATATTAAACAAACATCATCTATATCAAATCTTATATTTTACTAAAAATTACAATAAACATTTAGCCTCCCTCATTTTCAGTAGCTAAAACAAATTCACTTTTGGAGATTCCATGGTAAATTACTAATGCTGAAAAGAACATTTGTTCTTTCAATAAGATTTAAATGTTCGTTCATGGGATGTTTATGTACTCCATTTAATGAGTACATTTAAATGTTCGTTCATGGAATTTCAAATCCATGAACAGATGAATCTCAAGAACTGACACAGTACGACAAATTCTATTCCAAGTTTAAGGAGACTTGTAGCTACAAAAAATGAGGTTCTCTTAAAGAAAGATAAGGCACACACTGTGGTGCAATGAGCAAAACTGTCCAGAAAATTATGCTTGGAGCTCACTTCTAGACAAGGCAGCAACGAGACTGCATCCAAGCTCGGGTCTCCATGGGATCACTGGCTTCCTGCTATGAGGGTGGGAAGAATACAACTTTCCACAATCCCCAGGGTCTTTGGGCACTGGCAACAGGCTTTCTCACACAAATGGCACACAAACCTAAACCCAGGCTACCTTCAACTAAGTAGCCTGAGTATCACCCTTCTCCCCTCAACAATGCTGCTCTCCTGTTTCCCTATAAGAAGGGAGACTCATGGGTGCACCCAGTGCCAGGTTGGACTCCAAGGGATAATGACAGTTGGGAGAATACCTTCTCCTGCTAAAAACCCTGATGCTCTAAGTTATCCATTTCCCTAGAAAAGTCTATTCTTTAACCCAGCCTGTCTGACATCCTGCAATTTATTCTGAGCTATGTCCACAACAGATCTGACCCCAAAGACCAACACTATGCAAGACACATCTTTTTCCTGATTTAATTTTCTGGGAACAAAATTCAGGAATGCAGCACTGAGACAGTCTGAGTGTGAGGTAGGGGGCTGAGACGAGTTTATCTTCTTATTTTGGTACTGAATAAACAGTTTGAACTTAAAGAAGGCACTATCTACCCCTCAAATCATAGCTACGATGGTGAGAGAGGACTTGTCTGCACCTCTTTTTCCTTCTATTGTATTTCTACTACCAGAAAGCACCTCCCGCCGAATAATATGTAGGTTGGAGGGAAAGACCCTGATGCTGGGAAAGATTGAAGGAGTGAGGAGAAGGGGACGACAGAGGATGATATGGTTGGATGGCATCACCGACTCAATGGACATGAGTTTGAGCAAGCTCCGGGAGTTGATGATGGACAGGGAGGCCTGGTGTGCTGCAGTCCATGGGGTCACAAAGAGTCGGACACAACTGAGCGACTGAACTGAACTGAACAGATGTCCTACTTATATTCTACTGAAAAATGGGCAAGACAAGCAAGTACTCACAAGAGGATAGCCAATGGATTAAAAAAACACAAAAGGGGGCTCACCTTCATTTTAACTATAAGAATGCATATTAACGTTAACAGTATGTTATTACTACACGCTCCAGAATGACTAAAATGTTGGAGAGGATTAGAGACATCAAAACTATTCCATACTACTGACAAAAGTATAAATTAGTATAACCACTTTGGAAAACTATCTGGAGTATCTACTACAACTTAACATCTACTATCCCTATGATCTAGCAATTCCACCATTAGCTACAAAGCATAAGCAACAGAAATGCATACAGATGTACATCAAAAGACAACTACCCAAATGCTCCTCACAGTAGAATGGCTAAAATGTGCTATATTCACAAAGAAATACTATACAACAACATACTGTGTAACGATGAGTTGCTCAGGTGCAACGGGATTCTTTGTAAGCCCATGGATTGTAGCCTCCAGGCTCCTCAGTCTGTGGAATTCTCCAGGCAAGAATACTGGAGTGGGTTGCCATTTCCTCCTCCAGGGGATCTTCCTGACCCAGGGATTGAACCGGGGTCTACATGCTTTGCAGGCAGATTCTTTACCATCTGAGCCATCAAGGAGGCCCTATTATATTGGCCACCAAACTGCAAATTACTCAAAGGCTCCTCCCAGGAGAATGGCTAAATTGTGTTACATTCACAAAGAAATACTATATAACAACATACTATGTAACAAGGAGTTAACTACATAACATAACAATACTATATAACAATGAGTTAACCACAACTACCTGCAACAAAATGGGTAACTCAATCAGTGTTAAACACCAGACTGACTCAAAAGAGTATACTCTATATGATTCCACTTACAAAATCTCAAAACAGACAAAACTGATTAACCAATGATGTTAGAAATCAGGATAGAGGTTACCCTTGCAGGGGTGGAGGGAGCCTTGGCATCCTGGAAGAGGACATAGAGGGCTTATAGGATGCAGGTAAATGTTCTATTACTTGATGTTAATATTATTTACACATGTGTCCATTTCATGAGAATTCATTGAGCTGTGCCCCTACATGTGTTATCCTTAATAAAAACTTCAAATAACAAAAAAGTCTCTGTTAAGATACGCTATTTCACTTCAAGAGCTACCTAATTCAGTGACTGCATACTACAAACAGCAGAGGTGGTATTCAAACCCAGGCAGAGTTTGTACTATTAACACTTCCTTAAGCCACTTATTTGGAACTTGGTGATTCTTAAACCTCAAATAGCCTGAAGATGGTTAGGAAAGAGCAGTCTCTCGCTCACACACACAACAAAAACATCATGAATGTCATAAAGTCAAAGCTCAACATCTTCCCAGTATTTTCACTAATTTTAAATACAATCCCAACAAGTTCGGTTATCATTCTCAGTTGTAAATGCATAAAAGTATCAATTCAGATGGCACAAAAATAACCTCACTGAGAGCAGTCAGCAATAGAAGTGATAAAGACAGAAAGCAGGTACCAGACACCACCCCCCTGCCAAAAAAAATCCAAACAACAACAAAAAACCAGTATTAGGTGGCCATGTAGCATTAGGGTTTTAGTTAGGGACTGGCAAACTCTAGCCCTTGGGCCATATTCACTCTTCGCCAGTAGCTATGAAATGATTTTTACATTTTTAGATGGTTGGGAAAGCATATAGATACAGACACACACACACACACACACACGAATATGTGAGAACATAAATGACTTGGAAAGTCTAAAATATTTACAGAAAAACTGTTTAAACAGCACCATATCATCTTAGATGATCAAGGAACACTCTTGATTTATTTAATTTTTATTGAGCACCTACTATGTGCCAGATACTGGGGACATATCAATAAACAACTCTTGAGTTTACATTTCAACTTACTGAAGGGCACTCAAAGTGACAACTCTGAAAATGGGGAAATCAGAACTCCAAGAGGAAGTGACTACAAAGTTCTCTGCAGGTAGACATCCCAACATGCACAGATTCTTATCGGCCACAGTTGGTTCTCTGGCTCTATATGAGGAGCAGTGGAAGGGAGTGCTCTGGAAAATGTCATATTGAGCTCAAACATCCCCAAAATGGCCTCTGTAGAAGATGGGCAACAGGTCCTATGGTTTATAGGTGCTTTCCCTACCTCTGAACTATGCCTGATGAACTTGAAGAGCCTTCATTTGCTAAGTACATGTAAGGTGATGAGGGTAAATGTGTTCTTGAAGAGTCTTTAAATCTATATTCAGGCTGATAATTCAGGGTGACTTCTCTAAGTTTAGTAGATTTTCATTAGGCTAGTGTCCAACTTCTTCTGATATCATAATTAAGCAGTTACTGCCACGGCAATCTATCCAGACTAGGTACCAATCAATATTGGTTTTGTTTGTTTGTTTTCTAAATACACTGCATGGTCCTCAAAAAGTGACGTGGAAAAATTTTAAGTTTTCAGTGGGAAACATCTGGTCCTACACCAAAGCTTCTGAAATTAGTCATAAAAATATGTCCACTCAAGGTTCTTTTCATCCAATCTCCTTAGCCAAGCAACTAAATTTCTTGTCCGAGATTCATATATGTCAGTCAACTGAAAAGATTAGTGATAACCAACACTGAGTCCTTCCTCATCCACCAAAACAAAACAAAAACTTTCTGAAATGTTTTCTATAAAGAAAAGCATTCCATAACAATTTGTTTGAATTTATACTGCACTTCCTTTGTCTCTTATTGCTTTGATTGCTGTGTGTGTGCATTTTAAAATGGATATATAAGTATTTAACAAAACAAAACCTCTATGCTCCTACTAAATAACAGCCTCAGCAGCAACTCGTTCCAAACATGAAACTATTATGAAATAAGATACGTGTTTAAGCCGACCTGAGAAAGGTTTCATTCACACTCAAATGAAATGGTAATTGTATGCGAAAAAAGACGAGTTTATCCACATGCCACAAACATTAATCTTCAAGTGCATAGTCATGGAAGAATCAAAGCACAATGGGCTAGGCAGACAGCAACAACATTATTCCTGCCCATCCTTAATACCTAACAAGAAAGCTGGCCTCCTGATCCGGAAAGATGCCACTACCGACAGAAACGAAACCCAAACATCTCGTAACAGAAACTCTTGTGACGACTTCCCAGTGCAGAGGCGCACCGGGTTTCCTACTTCACTTCGCTGAAGTGTCACGCCCTCCATAGGACGAGCCAAGGTCCCAGCCTCGAGAGGCTTACGGACCCAGTGCAGGACAAGGATCTAAGGGTATGGGAGATTCCAATAGAGAACTGAGGAGACCAGAGAAGGAAAAGTTAATTCTTCCAAGGACCAGGACTGGCAGAGTCGGGTGAAGTTGGGAAGGATAGAGGGAGATGTCCAAGAGGTGATTAGCTAGGATGTGGGGAGACGGAGAGAGGGAGACAGGAGAAGAAATCCCACGGAAAGTGGAGGGGAAGCGCTGAAGCCATCCCCTCTCTCGTGCCCGGAGGCGCCCCCGGCCCGGCCCTTATCCCCTCCCGGCTTCCTAAATATCCCCGGACCGGGTCTCCTCCGGATCCTCGGGCACGGGCCTTGGGGTGCAATGGGGACATCGGTGAAGCTCCCCTCGCGGGAAAGCTCCTCCCGCCGGCGAGATCTGGATGGGGGCCTCTCGGGCCCCACCCAGCTCCCCTGGAGGCGGTGTTGCCGTGCCCCACGCCCGCTACCACGCCGCGGACAGCTCCCCACCGAACGTGGACACTCACTTTTTCGTGGAAGATGGACTCCATGTTTATTTGTCTGGAGCCAACGGCCCCCGCACCGAACCACCCCCTGCCCCCGCCCCGCCCCGCCACGGCCCGCCCTGCTCACGTGCCTCACGTAGACCAATCATCCATGAGAATGCCAGTCACGTGGAGCGACGAGGCGTGAACGCTGGGCGGTAAATGAGGGGCACGTGACCTTCGTTGCGCATCGTAGCATCCCTGGGTTATCCCCCTAAAGCTAGGGAGTGCTGCAGCGCCACCTGCCGTATGGAGGATCATCTCCCCTTCCCACTCATTGTGATGGATTCTTAAGCTTCTGGAGATTTGTTTTGAGTAAGGATCACTGAGGTTCTATGTTCTTTTTGTTTTCTACTTTTACTTTGTATTTGTATTGTCTTTTTATCATATTTGCTTACGGTAATTTAGTATCTTTCTCCTCCCCCACAGAAATTCTCATTGCATCTCTCAATACCGACCACGTGTGTGAAAATGAGAGTTATTATTTACATAGCACTTACTGCCAGGTGGGCACTCTTGGAAGTGCTTTGCATATGTTAAGAAATTTAATTCAGCAAACTTTGATGTAGGCATTATTATCCCTATTTTACACACGGGGAAAGTGAGTCATGAAGATAGTACAGCACAACTAGAAAGTCCAGACACCTTGTTACTAGATGTAAGTGTTCTGGCCCTGAAGAGGAAGCATAAAATTGAGGGAGGTGAAAAGCCCAGTATAGTGGTGGGGGAAGCTGAAGGAGCAGGATAAGAGCAGGTCTTGTACCCTGAAACCAGATTAAGGAAGGTGTGCTTTTTTTTTTTTTTTAATCTTCTCCTGGGCACCACAGGCATGTAGGACCTTAGTTCCCAGGTGAGGGATTGAACCCAAGTCCCCTACATTGGAAGCATGGAGTCTTAACCATTAGACCACCAAGGAAGCCCTAGGAAGGTATGCTTTTTACAGGCAATGGGGAGCTATAAAAAGATTTTACAAGGAGGTGAGACAGACTCAGATTTGTGTTTTAGAATGATCAGTTTGGCCAAAGCAGAGAGCCATTACTGTCAGAGGAATCCTGGGAGAGGTGACAGTGTTTGGACTAGCATCATAACTTAGTGATAGAGAGAGACCATTTTGAGAGATAATTAGCAAGTGAGACTGAAAATATGAAAGTGTCCCACTCTTTGTGACCCATGCACTGTAGCCTGTCAGGCTCCTCTGTCCATGGAATCCTCCAGGCAAGAATATTGGCGTGGGTAGCCATTCCCTTCTTCAGGAGATCTTCTAGACCCAGGACTTGAACCCCATGTCTCCAGTGTTGTAGGCAAATTCTTTACCATCTAAGCCACCAAGTAGGGACACTCAGCCAAACTTGGTGGGAGAGTGGGGAATGAGAGAGAGAGAAGTGTTAGGGTCAGACTTCTGGGTTTCTGCCCTAGGTAGCCACTGTGCAGGAAGGATATTCACTGAGGTGGGGAATAATTGGGAGGAGAAACTTCGGGGAAGAGAAAAAGACAAAGAATTTATGCTTTGCAGATACTGGTTGAATGTGAAATATCTATGAGATATTCAGTGTTGAGGTGGATGGATGGATAGATATGCTGTTTGGCTGTAGAATGGGGAGTTGTTGGCATTAAAAAAGGGAACTGAAACCACGAAAGTGAATATAATCATCTTGGGGGAAAAGAAGAAACTGGGAAGCGGATTTAGCAGAGCCCTAAGTGTAGAAAAGGAATAGCTAAGGAGGGAGGAAAGCAGGAGGGTGTAATGTTATGGAAGACCTAGAAAGGAAATGTTTCAAAGAGCAGTTAGTGTCATTTGCTGTCCAGAAGTCCAGCAGCATAGGGACTTATAAGAGCCCACTAAATTGTGTTGCTACAGAGACCATTGGTGACCTTGGCGAGTCCATGTCCAAGGGGCAATGGGAGGGAAGGAAATGAAACTGCCCGCGAGGACCAGGTGCTCAAGTGAAGGATTTGGATATCATTTGTCAGATGTCTCTGCATGTACAGTCCACAGTCTTGTATTGGAAATAGTGTTCTTAAGAAATTGTAGCCTAGCTGGGGAAACAAATCATGGTCTCAGGAAGTGAAAAAGAATATGCAAACCAGTTTTTCTGTTTTTTTTTTTTTTGAAAGAAAATGTATGTCTGTGTAAAGAAACATGTTTTGTTTTTATTTTTTCATGTACATGCATTACAGAACTCTGGAAAAATATACAGAAAACTCAGAGGCTACATGTTTGAGTGGGAAAGGGGCTAGGCAAATGGTGGTAAGAGTGGGATGTATTGCATTGTATTGTATACAATTGTATTTTATTGTATGCAATTTTGGTCTTGATTTTTTAAAATATTTGTTTACTTGACTGTACCTGGTCTTGGTTGTGGCCTGTGGGACCTTCAGTTGTGGCCTGTGGGATCTAATTCCCAGACCGAGGATCAAACTTGGGCCCCCTGCATTAGAAGCACAGAGTCTTAGCTGCTGGACCACTAGGGAAGTTCCTAGTCTTGATTTTTGAGTTAATTAATGTATTACTAATTCAGAAAAATATGCAGTTGTGTTCATTTCCTATTTTGTAGCAAATTACCACAAACTTGGTGACTTAAAACAAAAATTTATTCTCATTGTCCTTGTGGCCAGAAAGCTGAACCCAAGGTGTCAGCAGGGCCCTGCTCTTTCTGAAGCCTCTAGTGGCAAGTCCTTTCTTGCTTCTTTCAGCGTCTGGAAGCTCCTGGTGTTCCTTAGCTTGTGACAACCTAACTCCAATTTCTGCCTCTGTCTTTACATGGCCTTCTTCTTTCTGTGTCTCTTTGTGACCTCTCCTCTTATAAAACACTGATCAATGAATTTAGGTCCCCCTCTAATCCAAGGTAATTTCGAGTAGATATCCTTAACTATATTGGCAATGACTATATTTCCAAATAATGTTTTTGGTTCTGGATGGATTTGAGTTTTGGAGGATCATGATTCAACTCTACCGGAATGAATTGCTTGTGTGTGTGTGCTCAGTCCTTTTCAGTCATATCTGACTCTGCGACCCTATGGATGGTAGCCTGTCCATGGGATTCTGCAGGCAAGAATACTGGAGTGGGTTGCCATGCTCTCCTCCAGGGGATCTTCCCAACCCAGGGATCAAACCCACGTTTCTTATGTCTCCTGCATTGGGAGGAGGTTTCTTTACCACTAGCACCACCTGGGAAGCCAGATTAATTCCTTACTGGAATGTATTAATAAACTTTCCCAAATGACTGTATAGATTTGTTCAAATCCTTAGCATACAGAACAGTACCTGGCAATATTTAGTAATGTTGAATTACTAATAATTATTTCATTAGGCTTTCCCTACATATTGAGCATATGATTAATAGCAAGCAGCATAAAATGAAAAGATCAGTGCCTGGAAGTCAGAATTCAAGTTGTGGGGTTGGCTTTGCCACTAAAGCCTTGTGTGATTTGGATATTAGATTTGTTACATTTCCTATCTGATAACTCCACTCAATATTTGGCATATCCCAAATTTGACCTTCATAAGACAACTCATACTGTTCATCAAAACTGAGAGATCACCTCTCCAGGAAGTGTTCCCTCCTCTTCAACTAATGAAGAAGTCCCTATCCCTGTTCTGAGCTCTTGTGTGTGCCTATATCCTATGTGGTACCTTTTATACAGTATCATAATAGTTGGTTTGACCATGTTTTCACTAATACTCTGTAAATGGCAGGTGCATTGCATGCTCAGTTATGTCTGACTCTTTGCAACCCTATGGCCTGTAGCCTACCAGGCTTCTCTGTCTATGGGATTCTCCAGGCAAGAATAATGGAGTGGATTGCCATTTCCTTCTCCAGGGGATCTTCTCCACCCAGGGATTGGACCCGGATCTCCTGCATCTCCTTGCATTGGCAGGAGGATTCTTTATCATTGAACCACCCGAGAAGTCCATAAATGGCAAGGATCCATGTCTTATATATGTATCTTGTAGTCAATGTCTTTCAGATGACCTAATGAAGCTAGTACCTGAAAATTATTCCTGATTCTTTCCCCTCCCCATTTTTCCATATCACCTTTTGTTCCAATCAGTCCTCAAATGCTGTGTGTTCATATCTCTTTCCTGTCTGCATTGCTACTGCTTTGCCCTCTTGGTCTCTTCTGTAGTGCAGTCCCAGGATCTCTGGATCGGTCTTCTGATTCCAGTTCTAATATGTTCAACTCACAGTGCTGTCGGTGATCTTTCAAGAATACAAACCTCACCAGCATTTCTCTTAACAAATGGAATGTGATTATGTATCAGGCACTGGAATTATAATCATGAAGGAGACAGA